TCCTTTTAAATAAATATAATACCATAATATCCCACAATGACCATTCAAAAAACAAAAAAGCAAAAAAAGAAAAATCCCAGTGTCTTTTTCAAAAAAAAAAAAAAGAGAAAAGAAAAGGAAAGAGAAAAATCCCACTGTGTAGTTTCGTCAGCCAGTGGACCACCATTTTGGAAGAATTTCATGCTTATCAATTTGACAACTAGAGCTGTAAGATTAGACTCGGTTTGAGGCCCACCTTTTTTAACCTGAGCTCAGTTTGGGTTAATTTTAAGAAAAATAGTATAAAATAGACCAATATGAAAAGTTTAAAAAAGTATATAGATCAATTTTTAATTATAAAAATTAATAGGTTAAAACTTATTAAGTTATGGTTCATAATCAGATAAGTTATGAATAAACTTGTCAAGTTATGGTTCATAGCCAGATAAGTTATGGACAATTATGGACAATAACTTGTTAAGTTATGATTCATAACCAGACACGTTACGGATGAAAACAGTAATTTATCCTATTTATTAACTTATGTAAACTATTAGCATATTAATTTTAATTTATCTCAAGTCTTAGCATATTTCCTTCTTTCTCCCTAGTTTTAATCTCTGACTTAGATGCCAATCGTCGTTTTTAATTTTTTTTTAAATACATTATAAAATTTCAGATTGGACTGAATCGACCCTAAACCCGTCGAGTTTTAGGAATAGATTGGGTTAGTAAAACATAGAATTCTAATAAGCTATAGATCATACTTGAATATATTCTAAATTGACAGATTAAATTAGAATTTATTAAATTAAAAAATTTAATAAATTAAGGGAATTACCTACAATGATTAAAAAACATGCTTACGAAGATTGCAAGCATGATCAAATTGTAAGTGAGAAATGCTAAAGTCATTTGTTTGGTCACTCTTTTTTCACTTTACAGTAAGAATTATATTTTTGAGAAAGTGATGGATGGTACTATGATTCTCAAGAATAATACATTATTGTGTTTGGTTCTATATATAAATCTTATTTTAAATTCTTAAAAATAATACGTTACTGTGTTTGGTTGTGCATGAGAATGTTGTGTATTTACGAAACATATATATTTTTAAATGAATTACAATTAGGAAACAAATAAAAAAAAAAAGAAGGAAAAAAGTGGCCTCTCTCTCTCTAAGTTATATCTTACGACGATGGCATCAAATATTCCACTCTCTTGATCATTTCTGTTGTCTAACTTCGCCCTCATGAAGAAATCTCCTTCTCTGGCAACGCCATATCCGAGTAGGACGTGATCAACAAGCCTATTTGCAACCTCACTAGGGGGTGACCTGTGATGATCGAGGCCTTGTCGTCAAGCTCGACCTCTTTGGTTGGTCTCTATCCGGCTACTTCCCACCCGACATATGCGCCTACTTACTGGCGTTGCGCGTTCTTTGCCTTGGCTGGAACCGCCTAATTGGTGAGTTCCTTAACGACCAATTGGCCGAAAAAATCATATTTGGGCTGGCACGGAGAGGATGCGATTGAAGGAGGTAAGGGGGCTGAGACAAAAGGGGGCCTACGACATGGTTTTTCTCGACGACCGGGAGCCATGGGGTGGGGAGGCGATGGCTGGCGGCCAACAGATGAGTATTGGAGATGGGTCTGCAAGTTTGGTGGTGGTGTTGGACAAGTCAAGATCTATGGTGATGGTGGTGTGGGTAGGCTGTGAGTTTGTGTATTATGGTGAGATTCCCATAAATATGATTCGACGGCGGCTAGAGGCCGGCGAGGTGGGGTTGCGATGGTGGTGGATATGCGACAGTGTCTTGAGCCTTGGTGGGACTTTGAACAGTGAATGAATTTTGATTAAATTTATCTTTTTTTTAAGTCGTGAGTTTTGTATGGTAATTATATTCCTAGGAAAATAAATAATATTATATTAAGTGTTATTCAAATTATTCTATTTTAAGGTAAAATGAATCCTATGGGATTAATATTTTTAAGAATCTGAAAATCATAACTCTTATATCAAATATAGTAATGTGAGAAGATTCTCATTCACACTAAAAAATTACCTCATACCAAACGCCCCATATATTTTCCTCTTACCCCATGGCATCTCACTTTCCAATAAAAATAAAACATAACTACAAACCTTTGTTTTACCTTTAATTACACTTTTACCACTTTATTCTTTATTAGTAAAATGAGAATCAAGGTTTGTTATTATAGGTTCCGTTCATTTCAACGACCTGAGTTTAAAATTTGAGTTTTATTACAGTAAAATACTCTAAAAAATAGTCATATCTAACTTTTTTACTACAGTAAAAAATTCTCACATAAAGTTATGTCTTAACTCAAATTAAAAACTCAAATCAGCGAACTAAATGGACCTATAATTAATATCTGCTTACAAGATTATTATTATTTTTAGTTATATTGTCAAAGCTAGGAAAAAGGTTTTAAAAAGTTAGAAAAAGAAAGATTACATCCATATATAACGATAATATTTATATAACATTTACCCTTAAAAACCGCACAAGTCATAAGAAAAACAACTGCAACATTATTCGCGCGTGTGCATGTATATATTTATATATGAGACGTTATGTATATAACATTACAAAATACATATACACTGTTAAAACCATAATGTATAATTACTGTTACAAACGATATATATAAACTTATAAAGTATGGAACTTTAAAGAAAATATTGCAAAATAATTTGATTAATAGAAAACAACATACATATAAAATATAGGGACTTCTTCCGGTACGTTAATATATCGGTAGGTGAGTTTTTTATCCGTTAAATCTATATAAAATAATATAAAAATTAAAAAATACGTAAATTTAATGGTTAAAAAAATCTGATTTACCGATACACCATGCATACTAGATAATTTCTTTAAAATATAAAAGATTAAGTGAGGAATAAATTATTGTAATTTTGTTATATTAATGAGTGGCAAACTTGTAATAAAAGATAAAAAAAATGGTCTATAATTAGGTATTATTTTTATAGAGAATTGAGATGACATGTGGTAAAAGGAGAAATAAGCGAGCAAAAAAAAAAAAATATATATATATATATATATATATTGAAAAAAATGATCTTGTATTTCTCTAACTGTAACTGTAAGTATGCCCAACTCCATCATAAAATATAGAACTCAAATTTGGTCGATTCATAGTTTAAAAAAAATTAAATTTAGAAGTGCCACTTAAAAATGTCATATTTATATTTATGTCACTTAGTGACGTAATATTTATACCACTTATTTCACTACAAAATATCCTATTGGGATAATATTCTACCTGATTGTTTTTTCTTCTCCATAGAATATTTTTCAATCAAAATATTTTTTCTAAATCAATAGAGATGGCATTAATGTGAATGTATTGAATTTTGAGTGACATCATTGTATTTCTAAAAAAAAGAAAAAATACCCCCTCTACCCTTTTTTTTATACATACACTTTTTAATTTTATGAGTTTGATAAATTGGTCTCTTAACTTATAATCTCATCAATTTACCTCTTAAATTTTGAATTTTGTAGCAGTGTTGATCAAATTGAAAAAAAAAATTAAAAATTCGGATGGTTTCTTTCACTTGAACATTTAATGAGGCTAATTTTGGTATTTTTTGCATCAAATTGATCCTCTTATGAACATCGTGACGTGAGTAGATTTTATTTGAAATTAGGGATCTACCATTTTGAGAGAAAAATTGGGGGTTCAATAATTTTAAAATATTTTTCCAATCATGTTATGTAATAAGAACTAATGCAAATAGATTAGAATTAACTTCATTAAACGCTAGCGGGGAAGAAAAGTCTAAATTTTGAACTTTGTTTTTAATTTGAAACAAACATTACAACGAATTTCAAAATTTAGGTGAATTTGCTAAGATTAAAACTTAAAGGGCCAATTTGTTAAATACTTAAAGTTGAGGGGTTGTCTGTTAAAAAAAAACCTTCCTTACAATGTCACCATTTCAGTTATCTGTTTTATTGATAATATTTTAAGACCCTTTTAAAAAGTATACTTAAATTTAAGTTTATTAGAGAAAACTTTGTGATAGAAAAAATAGAGAAATAGAGAAATAGGCCAAGATTTGAGATGAATTAAAATTAATAGGCCAATAGTTTACACAAGTTAATAAATAAGCTAAATTATTGTTTTCGTCTATAACTTGTCTGGTTATGAACCATAACTTGACAAGTTATTCATGGTTTTTGTCCATAACTTGGCTGGCTATGAACCATAACTTGACAAATTTATCCATAACTTATCTGGTTATAAACCATAACTTAACAAGTTATGACCTATTAATTTCTATAACTAAAAATTGACATATATACTTTCTTAAGCTTTTCATATTGGTCTATTTTCTACTATTTCCCTAGAAAAAATTTAAAATTTAAACTCTTTATAAGATAAAAAAACATTACAACAAAATCATTATTAGAGTTTGAGTGTAGCTTAACAACTCAACAGTTATTGTTATCCTTGGCTTGCAAGTTAGAATCTCTGTTTTTTTCGCTGATTCAAGTTTAGAATTCGAATTTTGTTACAGTAAAAAGCTCTCAGAAACAGTCACATTTAACTTTTTTGTTACAATAAAAAACTCTCACATAACATCACATATCAACTCGAATTAGTAAACCGGACGGGTAGTGTTTCTCTCGGTTTTTCTTTTTCCTCCAAAAAGTCATTTTTGTTAGAAATATTTTTTAAAAGAAAATGTTGTCGGCGGGAAAAGAAGTTAGTAATTTATTGCGACTTGCGACTTGCGAGTATGAGAGAAAACGACGATTCTGGATTAGGATAATCGTGACGACGACAATGATGGTTGATTCTTCAGTTTCATATGTTAATGGCCACCAACAGCCCATTGACTTTATCCTTTAGATTTCCTCCTCTTTTTCTTTGGGTTTCGAGCTCTGCCCCCCCCTCTCTCTCTCTCTCTCTCTTCCCCAATCTCTCCACCGCTAGCTACTGCACTTATTATCTCAAGTATGATCATTCAATGACTTTCCATTTTTAGTCTCTCTCTTGTCCTTTCCGTTGAATTCTTTCTCAAATTCCGCAGGTACAGTTCCGTTTGGTTTCCTGGAAAATATAGGTGGAAAATTTTTCGACTTTTGGTGTTTCTAGTGTAGTTCATGTGATTGTGATTATGCTATAATATGCTTGGCACAGTTCTTTTGTCATTTCCGTTGAATTCTTTCTCAAATTCCCCAGCCACTGTTCTGTTTGGTTTCCTGGAAAATATAGTGGGGAAAATTTTTCGACTTTTAGCGTTTTAGTGTAAGTTTATTTCATGTGATGGTGATTATGCTATAATATGTTTGGTACAATTCTCTTGTCCTTTTTGTTGAATTCTTTCTCAAATTCCGCAAGTACTGTTCTGTTTGGTTTCCTGGAAATATAGCGAGGAAAATTTTTCAATTTTGGCGTTTTAGTGTAATGGTTCTGTTTCATGTGATTGGAACTTAGCTGGTTTTCTCTCTTGTAGAATACAATTTTCGAACAATGATTCTTTTGGAGTCCCTTTTATGCCGTTTCCTTTGAATTCTTTGTTACATTGCGTTAGTTCTGTTTGGTTTTGCTGGAAATATAGGGGGGAAGATTTTTCAACTCTCTGGCATTTTTTTTTTTCTTTGCTGAATAATAGTTTTGATGTTTAAGTGTAATTTTCTCTTTCCCGTACTGTGATGGTAAGAAATGCTTGATAATTTGGAACTGTAATCGGTTCTCTCTTTTGCAGGGTACAATTCTCCAGCAATGGGCTTCTTATCTCAAGAGAGTCATGCTTCTTTTGTTGTCTCTGTCTTGTCTTTTCCTTTGATTTCTTCCGAAAGTTGTTTAAGCTAAGGTGAATTGGATGGTGGATTGTCTTCTGTTTGGTTTCCTGGAAAATTGAGCGTGAAAATCATCTTTTTGCATTTTGTCTTAATAAGTAATTAATTTGAATACACTTGGTACCAGTAGTACAATTCTCCAAGTTCTGTGATTTGTGGTTATACTAAATGGTTGATAATCTGAGATTGTTTTATCAAATTTTTTTTTGGTCCTCTTATAGGGTTTCAAGATGAGAAGGTTGAGAGTTTTGGGATGTGTTATCGCGGCGTCATATTGCTGCCTTTTGCTTCTTGTGACAGCACAAGTTACAGATCCTTCGGAAGGTCAACTTTTAATTTTCCTTAAAATCTGATGATCACCGACTTAATTGGAAACTTCAAATGCTATTTATTGATTATTTCATTTTTGCAAACTTTCTGTTCTGGATACTGTTTAGTGTCAGTATTCTGGCTAGTCTTAATAGTGATTGTAAGAGGTTCGATTTTTATTGCTATAAAAATGAGCGTAGTACTGTATTTCTTGAAGAAGGGTCTAACTAGACTTTGAAATGTTTGACTATTGGTTTCTATATGCAGTGAAAGCCTTGCGGGCTGTGAAGAGCAGGTTAATTGATCCCAACAATTATCTCAGAAACTGGCACAAGGGGGATCCTTGTACATCTAACTGGACTAAAGTTGTATGTTCGAACAAAACTGGAAATGATGGATACTTACATGTTACAGAGCTGTATGTCGTTATTCTCCAATACCACTCTTTACACTTTTTTCTTTTGTTAATTGTGTCCATTAGTCTTTTCCAATTTTGTAAAAAAAAAAAATGATATACCTTCAGGCTGTTATTCCCAGAATGTCCTGCATAATTGAGACTACTTGTTCCTTTTCCCTTCATTAAATATAATGCGCGACCCGCACCAAAGATCGTAATTTCTATGTAGTCCTTTGTCTATCTGTGATCCAGTTTGTCAGTTAGGCCGTCCGTTTTTACAATAAAAGTTTTATATGCAGCCAGCTGTTGGATGTGAATCTCTCAGGAAATTTAGCACCTGAGCTTGGTCAACTGTATCATCTTTGGATAATGTGAGTTGTATCACTTGTAATCTGCTCTGTGTTTACATTTTGTTTTCAAAAAATTTTCTGATACACTTCTCAGGGACGCTAATGTCATTTCCTTTCGTTGTTTTATTTGATTTTTGATTTTGAAAGAGATTTCATGTGGAATGGACTAACGGGCACTATACCCAAGGAGATTGGAAAGCTTTCATCCTTGACACTCTTGTAAGTTGACATCTTGTTTTGTTTTGAAACTTTGTCATGCCATTTTCCGCTGTGTTCTCTACGTTCTTGCATTAGAAGGAATAGCTTAGGTAACCCGTCTTTATTTGTGCCTGATATGAAAGTTGTTCTAACGAATCCCTTCTTAATAAGGGGGTTCTCAAGTACGGCGTGAAAAATGCAGTATATTAGCATTTAGGAGGTACCAAGGATAGGAGAAAGGGGTTCAATAATATTTCTAAAGTCTAAACCATCATACTTTCATCAGATTCCATCGGATGTGTATACTTCCTTTAATCTGATTGATACTTCTTGAAATGTATACTATAGAGGTTCAATATCAGAGAAGTCCCGTATTAATGTATGTCATCTTATTTCCCATACCGCCATAGGTGAATTGGATGATACCATTTAAAAGCTTTGTAGCATATAATGTATATATCTGAGGTAGTAGTTCTTCAGCCAAAAAAAAAAAAAAAAGAGAAGTACTAGTTTGAAACTTGACGTAAAGAGGAGCTGATCAGGCCATGAATCAATGAAATTATCAATCATGATGTTAATTCTGGGAAAGACACGTTGTGGAATCTTTATACTAGTCTCAATACGACAAAATTCAAGAATAAATAGATTCTGCTCCAACCATTTTGATTGTATGTTGTACATTTCATTTGCAGGCTCTTGAATGGAAACAAACTTTCAGGTTCTCTACCTGATGAGCTCGGATATCTTTCAAAATTAAACCGGCTTCAGGTTGACCAGAACCAAATGTCAGGTCCAATACCAAAATCATTTACTAACTTGGTCAGCGTTAAGCACCTGTAAGTCATCTTTGATCCAAACGCTACTTCAACTTGGCAAGGAGTGTGCATTTCTTTTGTGCGTCTTACCTTTGGTCCTGTAACTTTGCAGTCACATGAACAACAATTCTTTCAGTGGTCAAATTCCTTCGGAGCTTTCCAAGTTACCCATTCTTCTTCACTTGTGAGTTTACTTGTCACTTAATTTATTTATTTATAAGATTTTTTGAAATGAAAACTGGCCGACTCATTGTTGAGAGTCCGTGGTTGATAAAACAACTTTTCACAGGCTTTTGGATAATAACAACTTGTCTGGGCATCTTCCGCCAGAACTCTCCAACTTAACAGAGCTGCGCATATTGTATGTTCCTTCATTCAACACTATTAGATTGCTATTTGTGATTACATAAATTTTGCTATCATATGATCTTTGTTTTGCAAATGACTTTTGTTTCTCAAATGTGTTTCTTCCTTGATGTTTTGGCTTTATATTACTTATAAAACTAATTGCCCGAGACATTTTTAGTGAATGTTTATATGGCATACTAATTTAGAAGAAAAAATCCACAGTAAGGGCAGTACCTTCAGTTATTGGCATTTTCAAGCTATAAGATGAAATGCCTTCAAAAGATAACAAGATCTTCAATTCACTAAAATACAATACAATCAGACTAACAACAAATTTGATTATCAAAACTTCCCCACTTTTTGTTAGATCTCTCAGAAAAACCCTGCCGAGACCCTGCTTTCCTACTTAAGCCCCCTGTCTGGATTGGGAAGATTTTCCCAGAACACTACCAGAATTTCCTATGACAAATGCTATCGGGGAACAGTTTCTTTTTAATGCCATTACCTTACCATGATTTTATTTACTATCTTTTTGAGAATATTGGTTCTGTATCAGGGTGTTTATCGTGATTGAGAAGGGAAACAACAAAGTACTGATGTTTTCAATGTGTATTGTCTTCCTTTTGCAGTCAACTTGATAACAACAACTTCAGTGAGTCTGACATTCCAGCTACATATGGAAACTTTTACAGTTTAGCAAAATTGTAAGTATTATTTGAAAAAAAAAAAAAAATACTACTCATCTTGTGAAGGGTATATATGCATATTAATCCTTAGCATTCTCAATATTATTTTAATGAAATTGAAATCTATGCATTTCATTCGTACTTAAGAAACTATTATTCAGAGAATCAGAATATAAGATCAGAAATATACAGGGGCATGTCTTAAGATGAAGCAAGCAGCAATACTGCACAAGTACAGATACTTTGACGAATGCCAATGCTTTTACTAATTCCTCTTTTTTTCCCCCCATTTTGGCTTGGCAGAAGTCTTAGAAATTGCCGTTTGCAAGGATTTGTTCCTGATCTTAGCAAGATAGCCAACCTTAGTTATTTGTAAGTTTTTGGTTCGACAATGAAGATTGTGTTTGTGCCTTTCATGGTGGTGTCTATTATTAGAAAAATTCTTCTTCTCTTTTCTATTATGATCTTGTCTAATGTTTTACTGTATTCATGCTACAGAGATTTGAGCCGGAATCATCTTATTGGACCTATACCATCACAAGAGCTTTCTGATAGCATGACAACTATGTATGTACATGACATTTTTTCAAACTAATCAGTTTTTCACTGCACATGTTCTTATAAAGCTTATCCGTAAGTTAAGTTTAAAATGAGTATGATCATGAAATTGGTTTTGGATTTTCCATATAATTTTGTTACATATTTTATGTGAACTACTCCATAAAGAAATTAATTCTTATTTGTTGCAGAGATCTGTCATATAACAATCTCAATGGTTCTATTCCCAGCACTTTCTTAGATCTTCCTCATCTCCAGAAACTGTAAGTGTGTATATGATATTTAGCAATTCTTTGTCTCTTTTTCTGAACGGTGAATAGTTATATTTGCATCTTAGGTATGAGTCACTATGGACTTAAGGCGCTATTAGACAAATATTTGCCTGCTATTTCTATTGCTGAATGAACACTGGAAACACATTTTAAATAATTGTTACTGTCCTTGTTGACACATGGTGAAACATGTTCCCTCCAATGCAAAAACTATAGAATCTTCTTTTATCCTCGTTGTTCTTATTGTTTTTGTTGTTGCTTCATTATTTATCGTTGTTTGTTACTGTTGTTGTCGGTGTTGTTGTTCTCATGGTACTGGAGTCTTCACTATACATATTGGCACCCGACAACTAGCTATTACAGTCTTACCACAGTGGGTGAACCAAATATTTTATAGTCTCAATGCACTCAACTGACTGTTAATTTGATTTTTTCAGCGATCTTCGGAACAACTCATTGTCAGACAGTTCAGGAGATCTAGATCCTGGTGCCAATGTCAGTCTGAGGTATGCTTTCTATGCATTGGTTTATGCAAGCCTGTAAGAATTTTGACAAACATGAAAACCGCATTCTTCAATATATCTGTTACTCCACATTATGCTTCTGCAGACTGCAATTTTGAAATACATGTTAGCAAAATATGTGAAGATACTAGGAAATTTCTTACTATACGAACATTCATGCCTGAAATCCTAAACCATAGGCGGCCTACCATAGGATTTTCTTAAAAGAAAAATGCATATGCTTCATTGGTGAGTGGATTCTCTTTAATTCTTTTTAACTATTTGAGATGACCTTATAAAACAGAACAGTTGTTGTATATTAGTTTTTAAAGAATGAATTCTTTTCCATAGAAGTTTCTGACCTTTTCTCTACTTGACATACAGACAGGTGGTTTTAGTTACTGCATCTTTTTTGCCTATTCTTTTTATGTTCCCGCAATAACTAGCTATGAAATAAATAATGATCTAAGTAATTATGTCAAAACAAGGTTTACATTTTTATAGTTTCATTTCTCTAAATGTTGAGTCTTCGTTGATCACTGGCAAAAGTGAACAAAATAGAGAAAAGAAACTCCAATGCTAATCTCTAATCATAATTCATAACCAAGTTACGCCACCTAAATAATATCTTGTTCTGTAGCGACTGGGACTCGCTTGCTAAGATCTGATTGGGATAGAACTATTTAAAATTGTTAAAGTATAAAACTATTATTGACCCACCTCTTAATAGCTTAAGCTTTTAGGATGGATTGGTAAACTAACATGGTATCAGAGCGGGAGGTCCTGAGTTCAAACTCCCGTAATTACACTCTTTATTCTCATTTAAATTGTCATAATGTGTTTGATCTTTAATATATCTCGGGCTTAAATATTCACGTGTTGGGCTTTCCAATTAATTTACATACACGATTGCCCATTGTTCAGCCCACACGTGAGGGGGAGTGTTAACGTATACAACTATTGTTAGCCCACCACGTAATAGCTTAAGCTTTTAGGATGGATTGGTAAACTAAAAAAAATTATAATCAACGTTCAGTCATTGAAAAAAAAAAAAGACAGTGGACTCTTTTGCCGTGTAATTTGGTGCAGGTGCCTATAACCAGAACCTACCCCTTTTTCCTGAAGGCAGAAGTTGCAAACTACAATTGTCTTTTCACGTTAAAAGCAAGTACATTGCTGATAATTAAATTACAGAAAAAGTAGATTTTGGTTTTCCTTGTATTAGTTTCGGGCCTTTCGGCACATAAATTCATGTTTACCTGCCACATAGGAGAGCTAGCAACAGATTGGAAAGTATGCAAGTAGCACCAAATAATAATAGGTGCACATATGCCTTAGCTTTGATTTTATGCTCTCAAGTTCTTATGACTCTAACAGTTTTTCCTCAGGCTTGAAAACAATCCCATCTGCAAGAACGCAAGTCAACAAAACATAGGCCAGTTTTGTACATCTTCAGCTGAGAAGAACGAGATCCCTGAGAAATCAAAAGATCCAACTGAAACAAGCTGTCCTATTCAGTCATGTCCATTCGATAACTTCTATGAATATGTACCAACTTCCTCTGTACGATGCTATTGCGCAGCACCAATAAGAATTGGATATAGACTAAAGAGCCCAAGTTTTTCTTATTTCCGTCCATATTATAATGAGTTTAAGGTATACCTAACCAGGTCTCTCAAGTTGGATGTTTCACAATTATCAATTGATTCCTTCTTCTGGGAAAGTGGGCCTCGTCTCCGGATGTACTTGAAGCTTTTTCCTATGTTCAATTCTTCCCACTCAAATACATTTAACACAAGCGAGGTTCAGCGAATAAGACGCATATTTATATCATGGGAATTTCCTCGCACCGACTTTTTTGGGCCATATGAGCTTCTTAACTTCACTCTCCTGGGGCCATATTCAGATGGTATGTATTCAAGACAAACCTTTTGAAGTCCTGGTGAATTCTCCTTTGTTTGACCAAATTAGGTAGATTATGGTGTCTTTCCTTCTATGTAAGTAGCATGTGGATGCATTGATTATTTTGATTACTGAATCACTTGATATGAGCTGATGTTACATGTGGCTTTGTGATCGAGTTAGGTAGAATAAAATATCAGTATAAGAATTATGGTTATCATTTATTTGGAAAATTATAGTATGCTTACTATTACATTACATGTTTGGTGGAAAATTGTTTTATGAGGTAGGCCATCTTATTGATAGTAATTTCTTTCTCTGCAGTCATAATTACTAATGCTGAAGGATCAGGCATTAGTAAAGGAATTTTGGCAGCCATAGTACTAGGAGCCATTGCTTGTGTTTTTACCATCTCTGCAATAGTACTTCTTTTGATCTCTAGACATAAATACCAGCAAGCACCATCAAGGAGACGCCAATGTAAGTTCTTTGTAGTAAGTGTGTATAATTGAAGTATGAAAGCATAACGATGCACTCAGATCTATATGTTAATATGGAAAGTGATGTGAACTCCGTTTTTCCCTCTTTTGCAGCCTCGACAATTTCTATAAAGATTGATGGTGTGAAAGCATTTAGTTTCAAAGAAATGGCAACAGCTACTGGGAACTTTGATAGCTCAACTCAAGTTGGCCGAGGAGGTTATGGGAAGGTTTATAAAGGCATCTTAGGTGATGACACAATTGTGGCTATAAAGCGTGCAGAAGAAGGATCACTGCAGGGACAGAAAGAATTCTTGACAGAGATAGAACTGTTATCAAGGGTACATCACCGAAACCTCGTCTCATTGATTGGGTATTGTGATGAGGAAGAGGAGCAGGTATCTTTTTCCCTTTCTTTTGCCATCTTGAGGTATTAATATTGACATTATTATTCTAATAATAGTAGGGACAATATTAGTGTCATTACTGTTGTTGTTAACTTGTTATTATTACTTGCTTGGAAATTTTTTTTTTTGTTTGTTTGTCTGTTTCTGCTTATTACTGCTTTCACTTCGAGAGTTGAGCATGTTTTACTCTTTTACTTTCACCCTTGAGCTTTGCGCAAGGCTGTCTAGTTCAATCTTAAAAGTCAAAAGTCATAGGTTGGGGCTCTTACTCTTTTCTATGATGATTTCATTTTGGTTACCGCTCAAGCTTTGAAGCTGCATGAAATTCTGGAGACAATCTCTCTTTGATTGGCAACTACACAGTAGGAAACTTCATTACTATGAGGACTGGTGATAGATATTGTCCTGGCTTTGTTTCCAAATAAGTGTAAAGTACATTCAAGACATGAGCATATTGCAGCAATTATGTAGATGATATTTACCAACGAGAAGTCATTACATGGATAATTATGTTCCCTGTTTTATGTTGCTTGACAAACAAAAAGTAAATTATTAATAAATATCATTCATCAACTTCTGTTTTTCCGTGCTTGTGCAGATGCTAGTTTACGAGTTCATGCCTAATGGGACATTGAGGGACTGGCTTTCTGGTATGAGAATCTCTGGCGTTTAGGGTTCCTATATTCTTCTGCTTTTAGTCTTTGCCTTGATTGTATGCTAGCGAATTGTTGCCCTTACTTTGATTACTTGATATGCAAAATGTTCATGTTAATAATGTAGTCTATGCATCGTTGCATTTTGGTTTGAAATGAGTGTTTCAAACTCAATTATATATAAGCTTGCTTAAATACTGTAACAGCAGTTTTTGTTGCTTGGATTCTTTGTGTTTTATGCTTTGGTTCTTACGGTGGACCTCTGCCATCAGTTCTTTTTTTCTCATTTGGTATTATCAAATATGGTTAATCTGTGTGTTATGTCTAATTTATTCTTATTACTCTTTCAACTAAGAGGAAAACTAAGTGAAGGGAATGTGGAGTGTGAGAGACCTGAGAATCTTCTGTCCTGTGTCAAATTAAATCCCTTTCTGTTCTTCAGTTGCGTCTTTCTAATCATGTTGTAACCATGGTGTCACAGCTAAGGCCGAGAGAACCTTGAATTTCAGTATGAGGTTGAGTATTGCACTGGGTTCAGCTAAAGGTATTCTTTATCTCCATACTGAAGCAGAGCCTCCTATATTCCACCGAGATATCAAAGCCACCAACATACTTCTGGATTCCCACCTCACCGCTAAAGTGGCTGATTTTGGACTGTCACGACTAGCACCGCTCCTGGATGCTGAAGGAACTGTGCCTGAATATGTATCTACAGTTGTGAAGGGAACACCAGTATGTCTGATTTTGCTAAGATTTCAAAATTTCATTGAAGAATATTCAAACATCATCTTCCACACATGCTTTTATCTTAATTTCAACTTTTTTTTTTTTTTTTTAGGTTACACACAAATGACTGGTCTTATGAATGTGATTGATTTTCAATATGATAGAATCTAGGACAATTACTCAAGAAATAAGAAGAATTGAGAAGAAAGAGATGATCTTTTATTGAATTGAAGAAAATGAATTACATATGCAGTGCTTCGAGGTACTGCTAGACCTCCCCTGCTCAGCTTATGAGCTAAGACTTTCCCAGTAAGACTCAGATCATTCCTGCCCTCACTCTTCCCTTCCTCCTCCTTTTATTCCCTCACTTTTCCTTAATCGCCTATTCTCATGTTCACACTACAATCTCAATAACTGCCTAACAACTATTACTAACTAACAATTACACTTATTGCTTGTTTCTTATACCACCTATTCCCTCTTTCCCTTTCTAACAAACACTTGCTTTAGTAGAGGCTTAGTCCTATCACAATATTACAGGATAATGGTCTAACGGTGGAATGGATCTTCCTTCAGAATGTCAGATGGTATCTTTAAGTTTTGGGTTGGGGACCAACCGGGTAGGAAGTGTTTAAAGATGAAGTTTACTATGTCGCATAGCACAGCATGGAATCAAAAGTCATATGTATTTGCACAAACATATGCTCCCCCTTGGAAGTTTTGTTGTGCAGAATGCATTGTTTCCAATCACTTGAGCTTTTTGGAAAGTTGGTTATTTAATATTCTGTATATCAATGAATCTGTATAATTGTTTTAATAACGTATTAATGGAAATTACCACTCAAATGTTAATATTTTTGACAATATTTTACCTTTAACAACACTGTTATCAGTATTTTTTTCCCAGCCAAGAACATAGCTGTAGAACCATGTTATGGACCTGTTTGGGCCATAGATTTTCACGTCGCTTATCTGTTTTCTCAGTTAGTCTTTTCTCTTGTCAATTTCCTTGACATTTTGCATCTCTTGCAATAGTTTATTTAGTTTGGAACCACATGTGCAGGGTTACCTGGATCCAGAATATTTCTTGACCCGTAAGTTGACAGATAAAAGTGATGTCTATAGCCTGGGAGTTGTATTTCTGGAGCTATTGACGGGTATGCATCCGATATCACATGGCAAAAACATTGTGCGCGAGGTACACTAGAACCTTTGTTATCTATAACGTAAATTTGCTATTTTCTCTTATTCGCATTTATGGCTCTGAAAAATTTTACAGTTGAGCTTTTTCATTTGACACACATAAAAATTGACTCAATTTACTGCTTTGGCACTTTGGTCTGCTGTAATGTCACATTTGGAACTCGTGGAACTTAAATATGACAAAAAATTCTATAAGATGTCTGCATCTACTGTTACTTTTTGTAGTACTGTTTTCCCGAGGAATAATACAAACGTACCCTTTTCAGGTGATGACAGCAAATCATTCTGGGACGATGTTCTCCGTTATAGACAGCAGAATGGGGTCCTATCCATCTGAATGTCTGGAAAGGTTTGCTGCTTTGGCGCTTAGTTGTTGTGATGAAAAAACAGAGAGGAGGCCGTCGATGTTGGCTGTCGTGAGGGAGCTAGAAGACATACTTAAGATGATGCCAGAATCCGACACTGTTGTTTCAGAATCAACTTCCACATTTTCTGGCTTGTCCACTACACAATCTTCATCCTTTATGGCGAGCAGCTCGCTCGTGTCCTCATCTATGTCAGGAAGTGATCTTGTCAGCGGTGTCATTCCAACCATCACACCTCGCTGAGACTGATTTCAAGGAGTTTCTCTGCGTTTTATTCCTCAAAAGCGGTGAATGTAGATGTAGACGATTTTGTAACAAGTGTATGGTCATTTTAGAAAGCAATAGCAGTGAGAAAAGGACGGTTGTTTCTTCTTAGCTTAGCTGTGAAGCCAGGTATATCTCTGTAAAAATGTTGCACGATTCTTCTTCTACTTCTTCTAATGCACGATCTGGAATACAATTTGCACGATCTAGAATACAATTCTTGAATAATGCCCTTCTTCTTCTTCTGCTTCTTCTTCTAATGCACGATCTGGAATACAATTCTTGAATAATGCCCTCCTCCTCCTCCTCCTCCTCCTGCTTCTTGGAACAACAGAAGACAAAATATGAGCCTGATGGCGTATAGAAATGAGAAACGTAATGTGACAATGAAAAACCGAGGTTGAAAATACTCAAGACTATCTTATTCCTTTCTAATGTCACTGATATTAGAATAGTTGTTCTAAACTATTGTTAAACGTGGAAGTATGGTCCTCTCGAAAAAAAACTATAAACAAAATGCATATAATATTTATACACACACACACACACACACACACACACACACACACATATATATATATACACACACACACACATTTATAAAACATTTCTCATTTAATACTTGTTATGTACAAAGGGGTTTGTCCATGTCCTTTCACCTGTCATTAGTTCATAGTAATAATAACAATATTGATAACAATAAAATGATGAACAAACAAGTAATCATAACTTCCTGTCAGTTGCAATGAAATGAATTTCCCTTTATGGAAATTGAGGCAACAAGGCAAAGCAATATCTTCTCAAATTCTCCCCCATCGGTTCACCCATGGATTTTGGCCTTGATAAGTTGTGGGTAAAAATATATCAAGTCCTACACTGGGAAATTCTTTCCTGGCATTGACAAAATTCTCTCTTTGTGCTTCATCCCCAACGCCATCATCCAAGATTGATGAACCTTTTGTTTCCCTCAGCTGCCGCAGAAGCTTGGATTCTTTCAATAATCACACCCTGTAAATTGGGATATTATTATAGAGAAATTGTGATAAATACTTTTTAAAAGTGCATTGGTCTTAATTTTTATTCTTAATTAATATGTTTTTAGTTAAATAACTATATTAACAAAATGATACTAATCAAGAGTAAGAGGTAAAAATCTATCCCTATGCACATTTAAAGGTAAGTTGATCAATTTTCTGTCATATATTATATTATCCATTAATGGAAATGTGAATAAAAAAGAATCCATATCTTGAATGTGATAATAAGGTATCTTAAGTAGATTCACTCCTGATAAAATATAGGCTGAATTTGAATAATGGCTTCCAAGATATATGGACAAGTCATAGCTTCTAAGATCTCTTGATAATCCGCCACAATGCACATTACCTCTGCCTTTGGCGGATGACAAGAAATATTATGCTCATAGAAAGACAATATTTAGGACTGGCAATTTATGTTACGACCTAATAACACGATTTAAAACCCGCATGAAATTAAATAGTTTGGATATTCTTTAAATAGGTCTAGGTAAAAAAAGAGTCAAACCCACCAGACACGATTAAATAAAAGGTGAACACGACACAAATCCTCCATTACGAAATTAACCCAAAATAATTCGTTTAATAAACGATTCATAAATAATTTGACATGAACATGACACATTTTTAACTCATTTAATACTTGTTTTATTGAGAAATGTTTAAATATATATATTTAAACATTTCTCATTTAATACTTGTTTTATTGAGAAATGTTTAAATATATATATTTTTTAGAAAAAAATAGGTGATATATAAGGAAGACCCTAGGGTTTCCTCACATTTTTTATGGAATTTCTTTTAATTTACTATTTTGCTATATTGTTGATTTTTTATCATTAAGAATTGAATTTCAGTATACAAATAGTAAACGTGTTTGCAGGTTGGCACAACACGTTATTGACTTGTTTAATAAACGGGCTGATTATATCGTGTTCGTGTCAATCTTGTAATAAAAGAGTCGAGTTTGGATTTCTTATTCTGACATGATTATTAAATGGATCGTGTTCGTGTCAAAAATTATAGTGTCAACAGAGGAGACACGACACGAACCCGACACGGTAACATGAATTGTCACCCTAATGCCATTTTACAGGTTCGATAGTTGGCATGGAAACAGTTTTCTTGCCTCCTAGTAGACGATGTGACTCATGTCAAGTCCAACTGACGAAGCACTTTTGTTCTTTCTATTTATCAGTGCTTGTTAATCGAGATCTGACCTAATATGATCCATCCAACAAGTAGAGGGATGAGATTTGACCCAACACAAACATAATATATGTATAAAATTCTTTTTTTAATATATAATTAACCATATATGAAATAACATGGCTTTTGTTTTATTGTAATTTTTATTGGTTCGTGAATGATTGAAGTATTTGTTTAATTGAAATATTTTTCGAATATTATTTCAATTTTTTGAAAATTTTTTTAGTCTATTTTTTGTAAATCATATCTAAAATAACTAGAGGGATGAGATTTGACTCAACACAAACATAATATATTTATAAAATTCTTTTTAAATATATAATTAACCATATATGAAATAATATGGTTTTTATTGGCTCTTATTTGATTGAAATATTTTCGAATATTTTTTCAATATTTTTTTTTTAAAATTTTACTCTATTTTTTGTAAATTATATCTAAAATAACATTTAATATACATTGTAAAAAGTAATTTTGATTATTTCTAAAGTTAATTGCGTCAGTGTGATTTCAGTTTGGTTTTATAAACTCCTGAAGTGTCTTGAGCATTTACATACAAAAAAGCAGAAAATATATTCAATAGAAACGCAAGATGTTTCAAGTATTTTTAATTAAAAGAAGAGAGTTTCTCTTATTAGATTTCTTTATAGTCAAGATCTATTTTTAATTGTTAAATTTGACTAAAATTATATTAAATTAAAAAATAAATAAAATAGATAATTTTTAATATAAATCATTGTCGCGAGTTTATTTTTCTTGTCTCACCGTATCATGAATTACACCGGGGGGGATTCCATTCCATTGACTTCCGCTTTTTTATTTGCAAATTGTTTATTTTTCTTTTTCTACAAATAGAGCTGTGAACATGTCAATATTAGAGAATTTAAAAAAGGCATCAAAGCGCCTACAAGATGTATGACCTGCCATCTAAATTATGTTTATAACTTATTTTGTTTTCTACCTTTGCAAGCAAATATACAAATAAATAAAAACAATTCTAAGAAATTATAGTGATTTTTAAAATTTATGTGAAAAACTGAAATCAAGCTCAATGTGGATATAGTTTAAAAGAGTATGTTTGTCCACTCAAAATTAATTATTTAAAAAAAAATTCAAACTGTCGAATGTACAGACTATTCTTATTCTTCATTATTATTAAATACTATCGATTTTTTTTTTTTTGAATTGATAGGTCTTAAGTTAAGAAAAAATGTGATGAATCAAAAAAATCAAGTAAATCAATGTAACATATGATAATATGAATTATTTTATCAGATAAGTAAAACATAACTTCACTTTTTTTTTTCAATCTTAATAAGAAAAGCATGGATTTACATTACAACATTTGTTTTTTTCTTTATCATTCATGTTTTCTATTATGTCTTTCTCGCCCCATACATTTTCTTTCCCTCCTATCAAATATATATAAAAAAAGGATATGTTATTAAAAGAAAAGAAAAAAAAAGAGGCAGGGATGAAAAATATAAAATTAACTTTTTACTTGTTTAATTGTTTTTATTTAATTTCAGGAGCTGGTTTTGCCCCAAAACAAGGTGCTGTGGACGAAATACCATACTTTATGACCACTCCTCGTCCCTTGACAATTATATTTCTTTCAAATTTCAATTCCTAATCTCTCTGAAACTTTCCTTGTTCATATACAATCCGAAAACAAAAATAATTATACACACACACTCCCTTAGTTTTATTTATTCAGCAAAACAAAAAATTATAAAAATTAAGGTTTTATTATTCCTTTGGAACCTTAGATGGAATTGTAGCCCCGTTTCGTTTTTGTTTTCTTCAGCGATCTCGTTGTGCCGGTAAGTTTTTTTTTTTTTTTTTTTTTTTTTTTTTTTTTTTTTTTTTGTGTAAATTCGATTCTGAATTTGGAGTTGACCTTGTTGATCAATTTTCTCTGATGCATTTTACGGGAAAAATTTTGAAATTTTGGGAATAATTCTGTCTAATGCTAATCTCTTGGTGATCAATCTATCGCTAGGGTTTTGTGATTTGAGAGATTGCTTTGTGTTCGAGAACTTTTGGTGATTGAGAAGAAACGGAAAAGTCGAATTTTGTAGGACCGATCAAAAGGTTGTATTTAAAAGCGCGTCCAATTTCGTTCCTTTTGTTTCTCAATTTACACAATTACGTAATTTTTTGGGAATCGTATTAATGATAGCTGGTCAATGGCTGGATTCGGCGCTGGTTGTCTTGAATTTTGAGTTTTTCGATAGGGCATTGACCTGGAACCCGATTAATGCTTTGAATTTTTCAGTTTTGTGTTTTTTCTTTTTCTTTTTCTTTTCTGTTGAACTTGAAGCTTTTGAACCGAAATCATTTGTACGAAATTGTTTGTGGAAACGGGGAATTTGATTGGATTTTGTCATTATCGGTGGGAAAAAGAGCACATGTTTTGCGGTGTATGAGTTTGGAGATCTTAGAATTTTGGATCCTAAATTATGAATGTGTGAATTCTTATCTCAATCTTAGCTTTTTTTAATGTATTGGGTTATTCAGATTATAATATATTTTCTGTTTGAAGGAAGAAAAAATAGTCTGCTAATTTTTTAATGTCCAGGTCTCAATGTTTTCATAGTTGTGAATGTGTAATTAAGAGTTATCTTGCATTTGAAATCCAGACTCAGGACTGCACAAAGTGGATCCTACGTGATGCTAATATACCTTAAAGGGAAGGTGGCTCATTGTTGCTTCACTACCATTGTTCATTGTGTTCGGAACGCTGAGTGTTGTTCTCATCAATTGTGGAGAAGTGGCTTTAGACTGTTTTTAATATCTGAGTGCAGTGAAGGAAGAATTTAGCGAGCAGCTGCACAGATTTCGGAAGGTGTTAATATTTATATGAGCGAAAATGTGGTTGAGGTTTAAGCAAGTGCTGTTATTTTCACTGTTGTTCCTAGTGTTCTTTGGTTATGCTACAACAAAGTCTGAATATGAATTTTCACAAAAGTCGATAAAAGCTCCTCACAAGAATGTTAGAAGCAATGTAATTGATGGCTCAGGGGCAGAGACCTCTTTCAGTTTTGAGGACACCAATGGTGGAGTGGGCGAAAAGAAGAGTGGAAATAGTAAAGTTTCAGTATCAACTGTTGCATTATTTACATTAGCTATGGCAGCTGCCACTGGTTTAGGTGCGGTCCCATTCTTCTTTGTGGAGCTTCATCCACAATGGGCTGGATTATGCAATGGAATGGCTGCTGGCGTGATGCTGGCTGCGAGCTTTGACCTTGTACAAGAAGGGCAAGAGCATGGTGCTGGAAATTGGGTCATGGTAGGGATTATAGCTGGTGGCGTTTTTATTTGGCTTTGTAAGAAGGTAATGACTTTCCAGTGTCATTTTCTTATATACGTGTTATGCATGTTCTTCGTTGTTGGAAATTTAGATGCTGGTTCCTGGAAATCCGATTTCTATGTCCTCTAGCGGAGTGATTTACCTTTCTTGTTAGTTTTCTGAAGGTAGCTTAATCTAAGGTATGAAGAAAATCATCTCATTTTATGCTAGACTGGCGTGACAGGAAACATGAATTGGGATGTATCTGAGTTGATTAATTTATAATAGAAAGGATGCCTTTAAAATTTTATTTTATATGTATTATTTAGTGCATAATCTGAGGGTTTATCGAGCTGTTATTATGTCTTTACATAATGAATTTTCTTGTTTGGTTTCAGTCTCTTGAACGATATGGTGAGGTAAGTATGTTGGACATAAAAGGTGCAGATGCAGCTAAGGTGGTTCTTGTTATTGGGATAATGACTCTTCATTCATTTGGAGAGGGCTCTGGCGTTGGGGTTTCTTTTGCTGGTTCCAAGGGTTTTTCTCAAGGTCTTTTAGTAACTCTGGCTATTGCTGTGCACAACATACCCGAAGGATTAGCTGTGAGTATGGTGCTTGCATCCAGGGGTGTGTCTCCTCAGAATGCCATGTTATGGAGTGTAATTACATCCTTGCCACAGGTAGTGATTATGCATGTATCTTTGTAATACCTTGAAGCATGTTTGAATTGTGAGCTTCTAAAGGGGAGAGGGATTATGGATTTATGAATGCCCTTGTTCATTGTTTATAACCTCAATGCGATTGGAGAAACGAGATGTGGCATAGGTCCACAATGAAACTCTGTTTTACATATACATGGCATGTATAATTGTGCAGCTCAGCCCTATGACCCTTGTAGAAATGTTTCAATATTGATAATTAATTTTGCACAAATAATTTGTCCCAACTTGGATCCCGTTAACCCATTTCCCTTTTGAACATACTGTTCTTGCTTCTTGCAGCCAATTGTAGCAGTCCCTGCATTCATGTGTGCTGATGCATTCAACAAGTTTCTGCCTTTCTGTACTGGATTTGCTGCTGGATGTATGATTTGGATGGTTGTTGCAGAGGTACTTCCTGACGCATTCAAGGTAACATATCTCACTGACTTGTGTGGAATTTTTCGTTTTATGCTTCTGCTGCTGTTGGCTTCCAGCTTCCAGTATCCAAACACACAATGATTAAGGTTTATTTGTTACTGATACCCCGTCAACTTTTTGAATTTGACAATTTGGTCCGCATTCTTTTTTTGTTCCTAGCAATTGACCCCTTCAACTTGAAAATCTTTGCAATTAAGGACCAATCGAAAACGGCGTATGTTTTCTTGATGATTCTGATCATGTGATGCACACGTGAGTGTTCGTTGAGGGTAATGAAGGCCATTTCGCATACCATTTGTTCCGTTATATTGATGTTAGAGTCATCTAATGTGTCTGAAGACAATAAGCTGTAATAAACAACATTTGATTTTCAAGTGTCGTTACCCTTAATAGACATTCCAATGGTGATAAATGACCTTCATTGCCCTCAACAAACGCCCACGTGCACGTCACATGATCAGAATCGCCAAAAAGATTTTCAAGTTTAAGGGGGCAATTGCCAAAACAAAAGAATAGGGACCAAATTGCTAAATTCGAAAAGTTGAGGGGGTGTCAACACAAGAAAGCCATGATTAAAATCTGCCGGATTCTTGGCTGCAGGAAGCTTCTCCATCACAAGTTGCATCGGCAGCTACTCTTTCTGTGGCATTTATGGAAGCTCTTAGCACTTTGTTTCAGAATTTCAGCCATGACTACAAGTGAGTTTGTTTTAGAAGTTTCGTTTTATTCTGGAGAATTGAAGCTGTAACAATATTTGTTCAGTGTGGTTTCTCTCATTATAAGAGTTGCCAATTTATCCATGCTATTGCACACCCATATTATGCTTTTTTGGTAGTTACATTTCTTAGAATGTCTTGTGATGCAATCCGTCTTTGATGTCATCAGTAATTTAGATATGATAATCAAGCTTTTGTAGTTTGGCCGTTGAAATTGATATCTTCAGGCCTAGGCAGTAAGCACCTTAGAGTTTTGAAGTACCTTTGTCTACTAAGGGCGATATATATTTATATATATCTAGAGAGAGAGAGAGAGAGAGAGAGAGATATCTATATAACTATCTTTGTTTTTCTTCTTTGTCGTTTGTGGTGACCATTCTTTTAACTACATGGTTCGTAATTTCTTATTCAAATACTGGGGTTGCAGCTCCATAATTTTGTGTCAGAAAATGTTCACATCGTCAATAGGTTTAGGTTAGAGTTAAGAGGAGATAGTTATATGACCCAGAATGTGTCTGCATTTCCTGTTACTGACAAATTTTAACTTTCTCTACATTGCAGCTCAGAGGATGCTTCGGGCTTCTTTGTTTCACTACTCTTTGGTCTTGGGCCGTTGCTTGGTGGAATTGTTCTTGTTGCATTTGCATTGGCTTTCCAACTTCAGCATGCTGTACTCATGGGTGCAGCCTCTGGCATTGCCTTTGTCCTTGGCGCATGGCGACCACTACAGTTACTTTTTTCTTCAAAGATGGGAGTTATCCCCCTTTCATTTTTGCTTGCAGCGGGTGCTATTTTTATCCGTACTTTAAGCTCTAACATTTTGAGGCTTGCTGGTTGCAAGAAGACTTCAGCAAATGACTTACCAACCTTGAGTGGTTTCCCGGTGAGCATTCACACTCTACAATCATTCTTATCCTGTGGAGCAGTTGCCTTCCATGCGTTGGCTGAAGGGCTCGCGCTAGGAGTGGCTGCACCAAAAGCTTATGGACTTGGACGACATATGGTCCTTCCTGTCTCCTTACATGGGCTCCCCCGAGGTGCAGCTGTTGCAAGCTGCATCTTTGGTGCCACTGACAGCTGGCAAGCTTCCCTTGCGGCTGCCGCTCTAATTGGATTCATGGGGCCGGTATCTGCAATTGGAGCCATACTTGCAGGAATTGACTATAGTGGTCTAGACCATGTGATGGTTTTTGCTTGTGGGGGATTACTACCAAGCTTCGGAAGAATAATTAAGAGAGCAACGAGGTTAGATTCAAGGAAATGCATTTATGGCCTCATTATGGGAGTGGGGTTCGCTACCTTGTGTTTGACTTGCACCAAGTTGGTTTGCTTGCATACACCTTATTGTAATTCTGCACCAGAGGCTGTCAGGTAAGATGATTATTCTGCGGCTTGTGTAATATGATTCCAAGGCATGCTTGCAAAGGTTGATTGGTAGGTTTGGAATAGCTATTATTCAGAGAACAAGTTTTGCACTCGTAGTAGGACAAGCATGCTCATGAAAAGTTACAGGGGTGCTCTAATGAGAGAACGGTTGTATGAAGGAGAGTTCCTTAAGAAGTACCTTCCTATAAATTGAGAGCTGAGCTTCCTGCCTAGCACTCATTTAACATAGCTTTGTCAGTTGCATAAAGGATGAGAGCATGTGGCCTTCTCTTTTAACGTGTTATTTTTCGGCAACTTCGGTATGGATACCTTTTTGGATTGAAAATGATATAAATCAACTCATGGAATCCCATTTGAGTTGAATAGGGGATTGAATTTATCAATAGAATAGTAAGGTCCTTATACATCTTTTGATCTTCGAAACTTTTTTTTTTTTTAAATGATTAGAGTCGATGTCGTGTGTGTGATTTTTCCTGGGGGATATGATAGAAGCCTTTCGGATTTGGCCTGCAAGAGAACATTTTCCCTTGATACTAATAATATGGCAGAAATGTTTCATTTGATGCCTGCGTTTTGCTTTCACGTGTCGTCATTCTTTCCAGCAAATTCAAGAGCAAAAACAATGTCATTTTCCATTGGCTTGACGCCATCATTTTTTGTATGAAACATAAGACAGCTCATGTTGTCATCCGTCCACGCACAGAAATCTGCCAATAACAACACCTTAGAAAACAAGAATACCAATCCTTACGCCACCTTGGTGTTGATTCACAGTTAAAGGGAGTAAAGGTCAAATTTACTTATAAACCCATGAGTAAAATGTTATAATGATTGATGTAATTATCTGAATACAATTCAATAATTATGTTATAACATTTCTATTACTGAAGTAAACACGAGAAGAATTTGATTGTTTATTATTTCACGGTCATATAGATGAGTAAAATTAGGAAAATATTTAATGATTATTCTTATTGTTCTAATCTTATTATTCTTCTTATTACATTCCTTTACGATTTTGTTAAAAATACGCTTAATGACTCCAATATCAATAGCATGCACTAAACTTTTAAGTTCAAAACTTCACTCTCGTCTACGCAACACTCAGACAATCACTTATTCACAAACCTCCTGTGGGTCTAATAGTTTTCATTTCTCATCTAAATATGCATCATTCCCAAATATTACTCTTTTGCTGATCAAAAGAATCCCAAATAATTCATAATTCAAAGGAAAAAAAATAAAAGAATTGCCAAATTTGCATTGTGTTAACTACCCTCGTTTTAAATCACAGTAATAGAAAAAGAAGACTCGGCTTCAAAAATAAAACCTCTTATCACCACCCTCTACAGCCTCAAAATTTCCCATGTCAAAGTTCAATTTGAACCCACGAGGCACAAATCAAATAAGTCAAGAACTCAAAACCTAAATAATCGTTGCACAACCACAACAAACACAGCGAACAGAAAATTGTTTTTGCTTTGTTTTTGTTTATCCCTATTGAAATCATAAAATTCTCAAAGCCACAACAAATAGATCTCTATTATAGAAGGGCTACGTTTCTTTCAATATTCTTATTACTACAAAACCATATCATCTCAACAACATCAAAAGCCAGCGGTATGAACAAAAAACAGGGTTATTAGTAAAAACCAAGAAAGGCCAATCACCACAAGATTTTTCACTTGTAAGTCGACTGAATGCTGCTCTGAAGTGCCTCCTTACTCTCCTCCACCAACTTCTCCTTCTCCGCCGCAGCCACAGCCGCCGTCGTTTTCTTTGCTCCCTTGACGCTCTGCGAGCCCGTCAACCGCGCCAAAACAACGAACGACATCCCGCCCAGGACGTTGTTCAGACACCTCAGCACCACCACCGACGACTTGAACGCCAATGGCGAGAGCCCCTTGGCGAGCACGAACTCGATCCCGTTCAGCGTCTGGTACCTCAAATTGCTGCTCACCCCCATGTGAATCGCCCACGTCACGGCGTTCAGCAGCGTCGGCGGCGGCTTGTTTGGCGTCTCGAATTCGGGATCCATCTTCTTCCTAACCGCGATCAGGCCGTTCGAGATCGCCGTCCCGACGAAACCCGCGGCCAATCCGACAGCGGCGAAGACTGTCCCTTTGTAGAGAAGAGTCCCCAATCGTTGCCCTAGCGTGAAGGATCCTGCCTCGAACATGTGGCTCTTAGGGCAATTGGCGAAAATGGCGGGGAGATTCGACGGCGATGAGGATATCGTAGGAGCGAGGAGGTACATGAGGACGAAATTGAGGATCGAGCCGACGACTAGGGTTGAGAAGACGAAGTCGAGCTCGTTTAGGCCGAAATTAGGGCGAGAGGCCATGTCGCCGAGAACACAGGCGGAGACGCCGACGAGCTCCTCCATTAGAACCTTAAACGGAAATTGGGGATCGGCGGCGACTCTAGACCTCCACCCGTTGAGG